CACCGTCTTCACTCCTTCCCTCTCCCTCACTCTCCCCTCTCCCCTTCCCCTTTGAATTTAGCTCTTATCCAAGCCCTCCCTTCGCCACCCCACCGTATCCCATCCTCTCACCATCCCCCTCCTATCCCTCCCTCCCTTCCCTCCTCTTACCTCTTACAATTTAACCTTCTCCCTCACAACCCCCCCCCCCCTTTTCCCTCATCTCTCATCCTCTCCTATCCTCCTATCTAACCCGCACCTCTCCCCCTTCCTTCTCTCTCCTCCCCCTCCCTTTCCTCCACCCATCCCTCCCTCTCCCTTCTCTTCTCCTCCACCCATCCCTCTCTTCCCTTCTCCTCCACCCACCCCTCCCTCCCTCCCCCTCTCTCCTCCCCCTCCCCCTCCCCTCCCTCCCCTCCCTCCCCGCACCATAACAAACCAACTAACGCGATATTAACGTGCGCGGCCGCCATCCATTTCCCCGTCACGAGAACCACAATAAATTGAACCATCCACACCCCCCCACACGTCCCGGTTCGCTAGACGTTTTGATTAGCTGCTTTGATTATTCTAATCCTTATCTTCTCCTCCTCACTCTGCCCTTTTCTCCTTCTTGGGCGGTTGTTTTGTTTGTCTGTTTGTTTGTATCTTTTATTTTTATTTTTTTTCTTCTTCAAGGGTGATTCTGTTTTTTTTTCGTTTGTTTATTTTGTTGTGTGTGTTTTTTTTTTTTTTTTTTTTGTCTTTTTCGAGGATTATTCTCTCTTTCGTTTATCTTTTTACTTTCATTTTTATTTTTATCTTTTTATTGCATGATAATTCGCCAACGATTTAATTATTACGTACCGATGTTCTCACTATTTTCCATCCTTGTATCATTTTTATTAATATTTCTTCATGTGCCATTATTATTAATTTCAAAAGTCTCCGGAAAGCAAGAGGAAAAAATAGACCACGCATTTTGAAAAAGGAAAACCACATAGATTGGATATGTGATCGAATATAACGCATAACGCCCAAGCACCGATGCGTTATAAAGTGACACTACGTCCCTTAAATCAGTGATCAGATGCGCTTTATCTAATGTGTGTCATCGGGCATTCGTTAGCATCATCTCTCATCGTCGATATCGTAAGTAATTATATAGAGAATAGGATGGATGAAAACAATCCATTCTGATTGCTTTTAACTGCCTTCTCATTATATTCCCGAGGAAGAGCGTGTATTGCCTGCTAATTAAAGGGAGATGATGGGAGGGAGAGAGAGAGGAGGAGGGAGGAAAGGAGAGAGAGGAGGAGAAGGAGGAGTGAGAGAGGGGAGGAGAAGAGAGAGAGAGGAGGGGGGAAGGAAGTAGGAGGAGAATGAGAGAGGGTAAGAAGAGAGAGAAGGGGGGGGGGGGGAGAGAGAGAAAAGAGAGAGGAGGGGGGGGGAGAGGAGGGAGAGCTAGATGGTAACGGGGATAGGAAGGGAGAGGTAGGAGGAAAGAGAGGGAGAGGTAAGGAGAGGGAGAGATAGAAAGATAGAGAGAGAGCTGAAAGAAAGGGCAGGTTCAAACAAACGCACTCTGATACTATCTATCCCCGCCTCCATCTATAAAAAGGATGGTAAGTAGATAAAAATAAATACAATTTGAAGCATACACAGCATGTCTTCGGGACGCACCGAGACACGGCTGGAGTGAAAATAAAGGAGGCGAGAAACCGATAAACCAAGGATAATACTTCATACCAACAACACAAATTGAACACGACGGAACAGAACCAGATAGGAAGTGAAAGCTACGGAACACAAGAGAAAACCAAACACGGCAGTAAAACAAGGGAACAAGGGCACACACAAACAACCGAACACAGCCTCAAACAACCGAACAAACATGCCTTAAACCGCCGAACAGCCGAACACAGCTGAAGAAGACCTTGCAGCCGAACACACAGCACCAGAAAGCAACCGAACGCACGAGGGAGAGGGAGAGGGAGAAGGAGTGGGAGTGGGAGTGGAGAGGAGAGGAGAGGGAGTGGGAGAGAGAGAGAGAAGAGAGAAGAGAGAGAGAGAGAAGAGAGAAGAGAAGAGCGAGAGCAGAACACACGAGGTCCTGACGCTGCAGTGATTAATCGGATCCTTCGGTGGCTCCGCGACCACCCAATCTCGGACGTGGAGGGGAGGGGGGAGGGGGAGAGGAGGAAAAGGGGTGAGAGTGAGGGTGGAGGGTGGAGGGAAGGGGGAGGGGAGGGGAGGGGGAGGAAAAGGGTGAGAGTGAGGGTGGAGGGAAGGGGAGGGGAGGGGAGGGGAATGGGGGTGGGGGAGGTGAGGAAGGGAGGGCGCTTGGTTTTATATCGCGAAGGGTGGTGGGGGGATATATAGGGTTGGGGATGGGGGAAGTGGGTGAGAGTTGAGGTGGAGGGGTAAGGGTGGGGAGTGTGGGTTGGGATTAGGGGGGGGGAAGGGTGGGGAGTGTGGGTTGGGATTATGGGGGGAAGGGTGGCTGTGGTAGGGGTAGGGGGGAGAAAGGAGGATTCTAGAT